AACCCAAGAGCTTAATAAAAGTTTGTTTAGTATACATCTTGTAATATATAAATCTGTAAAGCGCTTTGAGAGGGCCTTCCGTCCTGTAAAGCGCTTTGAGAGGGCCTTTGGTCCTGAAAAGTGTTATATAAGAACTAGCTATTATTATTATTATGTATGGTTTACTTTTAAATATGTCTGTCTCAAATTTTCATCAGTAAATCTGTATCACCAAATTGGTACCAAAAACATTTTTTTTCTTCTTTTCTTTAATGTACATTAACAAGTAGTCCTACACCTACTCTACACGTATCTACCCTGTAACAAATGTATAATTTCTATTTACTCTTATGTAATGGAGAATAAATACTTGACAATATTAAGTATTTGTTTCCACCTGATGCCCATCACTGTATTGTTTCTTGTAGTGTTGGTGTGGAAGACAAGTTACAGCCCGCATCTTAATTAGATTATGGTTCCGACAAGATCCACTTAATGACTAATAATGACCATCATATCCTGAAACGAACAGACTTTACCCTGCTCACATTTGAAAATGAACTATTAAATCTTCCACAAGATCAACCTTGGGGTAATACAGTACAATGCACAATAATTATTATTTCAACACTGTTTCAAGAAATTGGTTATACAAATTTAACATTATTTTTAAAAAATCATTCAACTACCGGTAAAATAATATAATGACGAGAAAGTAAAGTAATATTCTAGGTAAGATTTGTACATTAATAATTCTCGATAACAATGCACTGTCAGCTTTGGGAATTTTTGAAGTATTGTGGTTTGTAAAGATTTTGAACACCTCAAGCATGGGTGTCAGAAATCGCTTTTATAATTATATTTTCTTTCATTGCCATAGATGGCCTGAGGGAAGATACCAAGGAAGCAATACATTAATTTATTTACATAATACATATACATGGCAAAGTGTCCCCTCAACTCTGAGGGCAGAACACTATCAAAATACCATGTAAAACATTATGTGAACACGCTCTTGACTTAACCTGACGAAACATAACATGCTTCTATCTATTTCTTATCATCGGATGCATCTAGAATGCAAAATCTGTAATTGTGTTTCCGCAAGAATACCTATATTCAATCGGGAGTGATCTAGGCCTAAAGTGGTAGTGGTTGTCTCGTATGAAGTAAATTAATTAGCACTTACATTCCCTTCTCAGACAATCACAAGGTTGCGCTCCAAATTGCGGAGCATATGCAATTAGCACACCGACCCTACGCTAATACGAACCCCTACTCTTCAGCATTGATTTTACAATCACCGGGTAACAGTTAATTACAGATGCACTAATAGAATTTCCTCTTTCTATCAAATGAAGGGTGCTCTTGAGAAAGCGTATACCTACAGTTCTTCTAAACTCTCTCTCTCCCCCTTTCTCTTTCTTCCTCTCCCTCTTCTCTTTCCCTTTTCATCATTTCTTCTCTCTTCCTTTCTCACTATTTTCTCCCTCATCTTTCTCCTCTATCTAAATTTTGCTTCTCTTTCTATCTCTTCCCACCTTCCATCTTTTCCTCCGCATCATTTTTATTTGAATTGTTACTACCGAGTAACGAGGAGACTGAGATTGCTACGAGTGGAGGTTAATGACTAGGCCATATTCATCTTCTTGAGGCAGTTTTTTATGATTGAGTTATCACAAGATTCAATGCCATATAGAGCACGGCTGTAGAGAGTGAAGGCGCACTGTACATTCAAATTAGTGTTACTGCTAGCATTATTAGCCTAGAATTACTTGTACATTGCGAGATTGGCCAACAATCCAATTTCTGTTCTCTAAAATTTCCCTCTTTTATCTAGACCTAAACGGTAACAATATTTTGTCATGATAATAATAATAAGCATAATAATTACATTATCATACGCAATTAAGTCAAAACATTGAATGAAAAAGAGGACTATTAAATGTATGGTAGTGCAGGCAGTTCTATTATATTTTTTCTTCTGTTAGAATAAATTACATTTGCATGATTTTATTAACAAATTAGGATTCTAAAGTAGCCATAAAACATCAAGGACAAGACACATACCAGAAATAATGAATACATTTATATTGATCATTCTATTGAGTGAACTTATTCTACTTTGTCTACCTTGATATTTTGAAGGTTCTTTTATGATTATAAACACAAAGATATAGTCTCATATATTTTAGCAATGTGTGGCCAAAACAAATTTCCAAGTATTCTTGTGAATTTGGATGAATAAAAGAATTGAATTTGAAATTGAAATTATATTTGTACCGCAGAGTTTCTTACGTAGCAGACAATCTACTTCACAAGTAGAAGAACGGTATCGGGCTAAACTTGATTAGCACTTGTGCAATTTTTTAATAGCTCCTAATTATAAGCTTCCTTAGGTAAACATATTACTAGTTATTTTGTTGGTAAAGAAAACATCAATGTCAGGTAATATTTGTAGTACTAGGAACTGCATTCATATTCAGGGATAATCAGTAACGCCTTAATCAACACACTACCAATCATACCGGTATTAGACATTTATCATGTACAGTACAATGCCTGGCTCAATAAGTAGAATATCACTGTAGAGCCAGTAGGTTTACGATGAGATGCACACAAGTATGGTAATCAATAACTCAAAGTAAAATTGAATAAATGGTTGCCTCTTTTTCTCACTCACTGGGGTGGGTTTGAAAGAGCAATGAACAGTTTCAGACTACCCTTGAACTTTGACCTCTCCTTAGAGCTGCATGGAAGTGACTGAGGAAAATCTCTCCGCAAATTTATTCTAACCCCTCATGGCCCCCAGTGCTCAAAAACTGCCTTGTCTGTCTTCAGCTCCAAGTACAGATTAACTATACTTGCTGTCTTTCCAATTCCAATCAAATGTATGCACAAACGTGTACAGTTAAATTTATTCATACCATTTCAAAGTTTGTGTCAAATTGATTGGTCCTGATTTATGTTTCTTGAGGATGTGCTTACAGTGTACATCTAATGTGTACAACAAATGCCTTAATTTAGCCAGTCACCTTTCGTTCCTGAGTTACGAAAAACACACAAGAACATCAAATTTACAAGCGGTATGAATAATTTAGTAAATAACTAGACATTAAGGGCATTTACTGTACACTACAAGCAAATACCATTGGTTTTCTCACATTCCTCAGTTCTGATGGAAGTTGCTAGGCAACCACCCATAAATAAGATAAATATTGGTGAACCATTCAATTCTTTGGTTACACACAACTCTTTTTTTAAATTTGTATTAAGTAGCTTTGAATCCCCATCCATAAATATCTAATATATGTTGAAGCAGCTACTACATTGTAATTTGTATGCTTTTTTCCAATCTCAACATTTTGCCCCCTTCAATTTCAACACAATGTCACATGGTTACCCTGAATGTACATCTACCTTCTCCTTTCTTTTGGAATCTACAGTATCAAGTTATCAATAATACATGTTTCTGATGAAGATAGTGGTTTACTTGTTGAAGTTGCTGTAAATGTACCTCATTTTACCACTCTTTCTTGGTTATTTCTGTAGTCCCCATAGCCTTGTTTTAGAGCAAAGATCTACCTGATTGGCACAACCCCATAGGTGCTTGAAACGAAAAAAAATAGGGCTCAGCGAAAGGAAGGAACATAGCTGAACAAGAAATGCGATGGAGGCGATTGCCCCACTGCCAGTGACTGCTGGAGCCGTAAAATGCCCCGTTAAATGTGCGAACCTGGGCCGCCTCTCTGGGGAGATCGGAGCTGGCTTAATTCTGATGGGGATGAGGGAAATTGCACTTTGGCTCTTATTCTTCTCCTAGCCCCCATTGACCTTAAAATCTTGGGCAGTGAATTCCAAGCTTTGCAGCTACTCCGCAACATAAAGCACAGGCTTTATTGGGAATCCAGGCTTGATGGAATAGGTAAGGCCTGTACTTGATACATGCTTCTGTAATTTCCTTGCTCTCTAAAGCAGGGTTAATGGGTTTCAAGGAAACATACATGGGAGGGAATGTTGGACTTGATTTGGAACTGTGGAAAACGAATTGACAAAATCCTTGGATTCCATCTTACACTCCGGTCTATTTCCTATTGGCAGTTCAAAGTCTACTGCCGTTTAGTGGCAAATAGAACAGGCAAAGAACATGATTTTCATAGTTTTATCATTTTATACACAATAACAATACAGGACATAAAAACCACACAATGAGTAACACCTTAATCCTGAAGCTTTAAAACCATAATTCTTCTTTTCTTGTGTCTTTATACGATATAAATTTAGGAAAATTTGGAAATCACAATACCGGTATTCAATTCTCCTAATAATATTGAATAAAGATTTAATATGTTAATGCAAACTGAAAGAGTACGCTACATTATCAAATGGTGTACAGTGCATTCATAATTCGTCCAATACTCTACAATAGAAGCAATAAAGAGTGTATGGCTTGAAGAAAAAAGACAATGATTAGGCCTTTATCCTCCAGACAATTACTTTAAGCCAGGGGTAAAGGAACTTATCAAAATCGCATTATCACAACCCCCATTTAAAACACACAAGGTAAAATTTTCCATGATTTAATTTCAAGCGAGTATTTTGATGAGAGTTCAATACAAAGAACTCCAAACAAAGGCTGACTGGAGCTCAGAGTGATGATGCAGTACTCTAAGCATCCCAAATCACACACTCACACTTGCATAAATCAACCTGGCAGTCATTGTAAACAACCATCAGCGTTCATGGATTCACTTTACTCTCACACTATACTTTAAAAATGCTCTATGTACATGTACATTTTGTAAGTGGTATTGGTGTGTTATGATAAATTTGGCAATTATTGTATGTCTTGTTCTTAATAGTTGCTACTCTATGTTGCAAAGAAAACAAATTCTTCCCCTACACTTCAAAACATGACAATCTATCCATGAAAAACACTGCCATATTGATTAACACATCGTGTACAATGTAAGAATTATGCAACATAATAACTGCAATACTTTTAAATCAAAACAGTCACAAAAACAATACAGGAAAAAAGTGATTAAACTCTAAATTACCTTGCTTGTAGTTGGATGCTGAATGATGTTCAGAGGCAGCTACATTTCCATTCTTTCGGCCACCCTCACCCGTTGGTGGGGAAAACATCTGCATTGTCAGAGGAAAGGAAAGGAGAAAAAAAAGAGGAAAAATCAGATCAAACATTTGATATTCATATAGCCAAGAGAAAGTGGATATTTTACTCTGGCAGCTTTAGTGAATGAACTTTGCTGCATTGCAAGGCAACAGAAAATGTTCTCATACATGTACATGTCAGCTACATTGTACGTGTATAACTGAATCATTCTTCACTACAATCTTTGCAATTAAATTTCCTGCCATGAAACAAGGTCGTTCGTAACATTTATAAATTACAGAACTATACTACTGTACATACATGTATATCTGTTAGTATTTATTACATGTACATATCATGTAGATGAACTTACAGTGTATTTGTGATGAGAATGACCAGTTTGCAGCAACTGAAAACAAGGAATATGAAATACTTACAGTGTACATGTTTTATCAATAATCATTGAATTGGAGGAAAACAAATAATTATCATTGAATTGCATGTCTTATGTATCATAATTCAGGTGCATCCATGTACATGTAAATGACATATTCATGTACATGTAATGTGCAATGTACAGTACATTACATGTATGCAAGATGAGTTGTACAGCAAACCGATTTTACATACTACTATAGTGCATACAGGTACTCTGTACTTGTGGGACTCATATTTTAACTAATGGGTCATGATATCTTCCAGCAAAATCTAATGAATTGCAATAATCATTCCTCTATGCCTTAAATGGTGCACTTGATTGCTCATATCCTAATATATATATGGGATAACCCGATGAAAAGGGGAGCGTAATATTATGCGCAGCGATAAAAATCAGCCATATGAGAGTGGAGTGAAGACGATCCACTTCTCGCTCTTCGGCGGATAATGGGGCGAGATTATCTCTGCCAGAGTGGGCCCTTGAGCGTGTCAACTGAATCTGGCTGGATACTCAAGTCGCTGTTGAAAGCTGGAGAAGAAAAAAAATTCTTCAACCCTTGTACTCACTTGCCCTTCCTTTGATCACTGCAATGTGTATTCATAAGCCTTCATATTCTTTTCATATTTATACACATACTGTATTGCACTGTCAAAATATAGCTATATTTATATGGTGACCTGACAATAAATTTCAAACCTATCAAATTTCTAAGAAGACATGAAGAACAAAATGCGTTCAAGATTAAAATTGAATTTACAGCAAACATACAAGTATATGTACATGTACACTGTATTTAGACTATATTTTGTACATTTACATGTACAGTCTACAGTCTTTTTATAATTCAAAAGAAGGGTTCATTTTATTTGTGTCCAAATAAATGTTTACATGCCTACATGCCTACAACCTGGCAGTCATTACCTGATTACCTACATGTACATTTGTATGTGGGGGACAATGTACCTGTATTTGCAATTTAACTGATACTTAGTCATTAATTACAAGGTAATTAGTACAGTTTGTACACCATTTCCAACAATTTTTGATCTACCAAAATGTACAGCATACATGTACATTGCACATCTGCAAAAATTATTGTTTACAATTTTATTTGTAAATACCTTTTTTTGATCTACAGGCTTAATCAATTTTAAGTTCAAATATTTAGTAACAGGATTCTCATCAGTTGGGACTTTATTATCCAAAATCAGCTTTAATTATTGTCATTGATTACATTTAGGACTAGCATATTTTGTTCTTATACCGGTATATTTATTATCTTATTGAGTTAAATGAATATCTTCATGGTTAACATCATGTATGTGTAATGTATCATATTTAACCAATCACTCAAAAAGTAATGCGTCAAGATCTTAAATTTCATGTGGTTCACCCCACAAAACAGGAAAGAATACAACACGGTGTGTAATCTTTGAGTGGCTGAAATCTCTTCTACTCGCCTCACTGAGCACACAAGTAACAGCATATGGGACTGTTCACAGGGTAAGTCATTACTCATCTCCTTGCACTTGGAATTCATTGTAAAGGAGACTGAAATACCGATTAAAACAAACATGAAAGCTATTAAAAATAACTAGTGCAAATACTTGCATAAAGATTTATGCAAAACATGAAAAAAATAGTAAATTTGCTCTACATAATTTCAAATTCTAGTTCATCAGTGTACAGTTTGAACATATAAATATACATAGATTTAGCAATGATAAATCCTCACTCTCTTCTTCTTTCTTTTTCTTTTTCTAAAAATGGTTGAGTACTTTTTCTTATATCTCTAAAGTTGAGCACTAATATATATATACATGAATACACTGTCTGATCATTTATGCAACAGTAGAATGTTAATCTTTGTCAAATAACTTGCTACAATGTACAGTGTACACCTCAATGCAGATTGTTGGTGGTGACATTGTAACTATCACATTTACCACATGCATTTGTTTATCAAGCGCATTTATAATACATGCATATACCGGTAATGTTAAACTGAAAAACACACAACCATGCTTCCAGCCAGTCTCTGGCATGAACAGTATGCGGTAAAATCAAATACCGTAAAAAGATATACCAACACAAGGTTTTAATGTTTGAAAAGTATGATTTGCCTTATAAATTTGTTATGCAATAAAGCGGGAACTAGTTTAAATGAAGACAATCTTTGTGCTCAGTATTAAGTACATTGTAAAGTTATTTGAGAGATAACTTAGGACATATATACTGTGCAATAAAACATGAAGAAAATATCTTGACTTCATGCAAATTTCCCAATTCCAAACAAAGTCTCTACAGAAAATGAGGGATCAACAATTTCACTTTTATGATTTTTAATCTTTTACACAAGTGGTCCAGGAGTACACCTTTATTATCAATTTCCGCACACCTTTCAAAAAAGGAAAATGGGCCTCTCGGAATCATGAAACTAAACTGCTTCTATTGAACATTGTCAAAAGATTAGGTGAATGCCTACAAGGAATGTGATCAAGGATGATTTCCCACAAGGTTTTAATAATTCTTTCAAAATTAGTTTCTATTGACAATCATCTATTGTTCAACTGTATCAGTTGATCAAAGGTGCAGAGACAAAAATCTTATTACATTATTTATCAAACCTTTGACAGTGCTTTTTTGTCAATGTCTGCTAATAGTAATATTCACTTGAAATTACTTCTGCACTTAGTGCTCATATTCTCAAACGAAATAAGAATTACAACAGCGGATATTTAGGAAATAATTCAAGCTGTTATTAAACATGCCTTATCACACAAATTATATATCTTCACGGTGAAAGAGGGAAAATTTGGGGGTAAGAACTTTCAAGAGATTGATAAAACAGAACTGTTTCATACAATGTTTGCAGGTTGACTTGTGTATGTCCAAAAGACACAGAAATTGTTCAAAAGTATTTCCCTCAAAATGCCACATGGTACTTTGGCAGTAGTTTCATGAAATTAGGAATATTAGACAAGTTGTGACTAAATATCTTGTTTCTTATAATTTGTGTGAATTTGATTTGCATGGCAAGAGAATTGGATTTTAAAGAAGTGCATTACATTTTCAGCACCGTATTTACATGCACAAATATGTATGATCATGTGATGTACATGTATTTATTTACATATTTGGAACTTACCGCACTGAAGTCAAGCAAGTCGCTCAGCTCCTTGTCTGATGTAATTTTTCCCGGCATGCTATTCTGCATCTTGACGTATCCCTGGAATGATGAATCATTAAAAACAGTACGAAATAACCAACTTTTGGAAGACAATCATATTTATTACATTACAATTTAGTACATTGTACATTACTGTACATTCATAATCTCATATCCCTCAATCAGCTGCGTGCACAATGTAATGTTACATCTTCATGTAATAAGGAGCTACATTGTACGTGTATTTAAAGGCTTTACTATTATTATATTCAAACTACTCTATATTTCTGACATACACACAATTACTTCAATATTCAAACACATTAAAAAACTCCAATAAGTTTTGAAATTAAATAACATGCCTACGGAACAGACGATACTGTGACAAATAAGAACATTTGTATTTCAATTTGGAGAATTTATTAGTTAGTTTAGCTACAATGCAAGATTTAAAAAAATGCAAATGTATATATTATGGAATGTACAATTAGAGCATAGGATACATTTACAGGGTTTCTCAATTTCCTGGGTAAGCGAGTGTAAAGTAGAGTTTGAGATAAGATAAGATACCTGACTGAAAGGCATTCCAAATGCTCATCTTGCGCTTTATCAACGTTATCAAAATGATACAATTTTGATTAAAATCAGATAATTATTCATGATGGGACGGTTCTGCGCTGATATCATCTTTTTTTTTTTTTTTTCTTTCTGTTTTAGTGTTTTTTCTGAAAAATTAACAGAGTAAAAGCAGCAATATAAAATATAATATCATCTTAAAACTACAAAACAGGCACGCACTCATGCACCCATAAACACACACACACACACACACACACACTCATATACTTTCCCAGTGCGCTGATATCATCTTAATACTAGAAGAGTACATTGTATGTTCAATAAATAGCAAAGAAGCAATCACTGAAATTAAAACGACTTTGATTTTGATTTTTGATATGTAACTACCCTATATGACCAGAAAAATCAGACTTGATATCTATGTAGTATGTACAAATGAACCTGACATCATCCAATTTATATACTTTTGAGCTGAGATGAGGGAACAACATTGGCCAAATGATCATTTGTCAGATCAGATCAGAATCTCAATATCTACTCACTTTGTTTGGCTTGGCCGCTTTTTATTACAATCCTATACCAGAAATGAAAGATACCGAAAGAAATTTTGGGCAATATTTGTAGTTCAATTTGGAAATGTCACATGAAATATTTCATTGGACATTTGCTGTAATATTGGACATGTACAGGGAAATTCCATTTTAATGAGATCTCAAAAGACAGAAAAGACAGGCTTGTTTATAGAGGGCAACATACAGTACATTGTACATGTACAGAACCTGCATACAAGGAACATGCAGGAGTACAATAATAATAATGGTGAAGTATCACAGTAATTATCAGATTTAAATCTGTTAGTCCACATCTCCAAGACCACTAGTGGCTCATTCTAACACATACAGTACTGTACATGTTGGCTCTAAGCTCACTTTGCTGGCAACCAGGTAAACTATTTGAATCAATCAGTCAATCAATCAAATCAATGTGAGATTGAGGAATATATTACACTGTGAAAGCATTCTAAAATCTTTCAATTGAATCTTCAAAATGTCAATGTTGACAGGAATTTTGAGCATTCATGTACACATATAATGTAGATAGGCTAACACTAACAGATAAACACATTGTAAACAGACTTATAATAAACATGGAAGATTTATACTATAATCATTTCAAAGCTAATCTGTCATGATTTCTATTAAACTGAACTCTTTTATTGGGGGGGGGGGGTGGCTGTCTTCTGTAGGTTTGATTGTTTATCATGCAGTACTGTAGATGAATTGTTAGAACCATGAAAATAAACAAATAATAAGATGTGCTGCATTAACAAGTCTCAGGCACTGTAAACTGTAAAGCACAACTCATTATTAGTTTAATTTTTAGTTTAAACATTTTCTTGCTTTTTCACAAAGCTATGGTAGTTTGTGGCAAACTGGTTTAGCATCATGATCCATATTCTTGAACAATCAATGTACACAAAAATGTAAGTTCCATTTAATTCTGGGAAAATTATTTATTTTTCGTTACCAGAACTCTGTATTATAAAGGGAAATGCAATAAGTATGTTCTTTTTATTTATTTTTTCTACTGTGCTTATATGAAGATTTATGAAGATCGCTGACAGTGCAATGTTTTAGAAAATGATAATCAGGTTACATGTTCATCTGGATATTCTATTTTGGATTTTCTTTTTTTTTAATTTTTAGTGTAAATAGTCTGCTATGACAAAAGAGGTGCAGTGAAGGTCATGTTAGCTCTGGACAGATAAAAAATAACAATTGAAAGTCATACTTTGAAATTTAATACTTTTAACAATCACTTTTCAAATTCATATTTACTGCACAGTAGGAAGTTGCCAGACATTTTAAAAACTATGTTCAATGTTCAATTGCTGAACTGTATTTTAAATAAAATTTGATTTGTGCAACTGCGTTGTTCAACAAACACCTGCATACTGTATTACTGTTCAACTCTACTTTCCTTCACTTCCTCACACCTTGAACCATTGAAAACAAGTGTCTTACCCCATCTTGAGTCCTTCATGAAAAAGTCATGGCCACAACAACCATGCAGAGGTAGAACATGAATGTACATGTACACTAAACTACCAACACCAAAATGAAGTCAGAATTTTAAAATTTAATCAAAACATTTTAATTTCTTTAAATCAATTAATGATTAATCAAACTGTTATAATGGGATCTACTGACTGTAAATTACATGTACAGTACTGTACATCCCCAATTTAACATCATTAGTTTTTGTCCAGAGAAAATTGATCGACTGTTCAAGAAAAATAGATGTACATGTACCTGGCACCATAAACCAGGGTAAAATATGACTGATCAGAATGGATAAACACAATCAATAAATTGATTTAAACAAAATTATAAATGTAGTGCAGCAAATACTACACAAATAACACACAAAAGTGCAATCTACACAACATTAATTTAAAGTATCTATAGAGTAATAAAGTGCTAACATCATATTCGCTCGTCGTCCAGGTTGTTGGTTCCAAACAAAAGAGCCTGCGCATTAGGTTCACCGCAAAACCATTCAAGCAACAGGCTGGAACACTGCAAATTCAGTGTTTGGTGTGATCACCATGCTTTTGCAAGATTGTTTGGAACCAGCCACCTTGACAGCTTGGCCAGTAAGGTGTCACACTTGGTACTCTATATCATTGCTAATATATTAGCCGAGTTTGCGTAAGTTGCTCAAGCATTTAAGGTATTTCTTCCAAATGGTACATGTACCCATATCCCGGGTAAAGAGTGGCAACTGTATTTTCATGAATGTCTTGCCATAGGATTTTTTTTGGGGGGGTTGTATATAATGTACGATTGCGAACAACATCAACTTCAGGTATCAACAGATAACTGTTGACAGCTTGTCACGCCAGCAGTACCTGTAACAAGAGTCCCAAATAGACCAATCAAACTGGTTTTCTGCTGCTCAGATGTTGTTATGCTTCACAAGTCTATTTAAAAATATAAGTAACACATCATTTCAAACACATCAAACACAAGAAATTTCTGGAGCACACAATGTACTGTACGAACGTGGAAGTGTACACTTAAATTGCAAAATATGAACAAACCATTACATTTCATCCAATTAAATGCATATCCAGTTAATGTGCACATGTAAACTACACTATTGATGTGCAAACAAAGTTAACTTAACTTCTGATAATGAGCACCCTACTGCATATATTAAAAATTGGGTAATTTTTATATTTCAAACATTTGGTGTATCCTAATTGATAGAACACATTTAACAAGTTATCAAATAAAGTCCACTTCTACTACCTGTAGAACAATTCTTTCTTTATATACTTACAAGGGCCTATACATTTACTTTTATAACATGATTATCTGGGACAGCCTTAAACCACAGACAGAAACAGCTATCATGGGCACTTCCTGAAAGAAATTAATACAAGTACAAGTACATGTAGTTGATGGCATATTGCCATCAAATCGCAGAATGAAGACACTTTTAACACGAAACTAATCTCTATTTTCATAAAGTTTTAATTGTACTTTTGGACCGTATGCCTAAAAATGTGATTCTGTTACATAAAATGGACAGAAAAGACTCCTTCTAAAGCGTAAATCAAAAGTCTCACATTAAGGTCTTTCCTTTGCCTTTGTTGAACTTATATTTCGGAAGACGACCGGAGTGTTGGCTCAGTCAGTAGAGCGTCTGCCTCACAACCGGGAGGTTGTGGGTTCGAACCCCGGCCGCGTCATATCAAAAGACGTTAAAAGATGGGAGTTGTTGCTATCTTGTTTGGCGTTCAACAATAAGGGATAGAGCAACGTTGATCTGGTGCTGCTCAGTGGCGGCCGGGCTCACGATCAATTGGGCAAAAAGAATTTCCGTTTTCGGTTTAATAAAATTTGGAGTGAACTATTAGGCTATTATTATTATTATTATTATTATCTACAGCTCACTCCCGTTTATCAGATGATGATGATTTGTATTTCATTAAACAGAATCAACGAAATCACGTGTTTAACTTTAGGCACCTGGTGCGAAAGTACACACTCAATGAAGGTCGATGACATAACCCAAAAATGTAGGGGTTGACTAAATTGGACATTCGCGATCCCTTAGATTACATTGCATGGACTTGCCACAGCTCAGTCTCAGCTCAGCCACTACCACTCAACTCTCAAGTTGCGGCTATGGCCAACGCACGTCCACCTGCGCACGTCAATAGTCATAAGCACAGTCACGGTACGGGTTAGACCGAAAGTTTCATATGATATCGACGGTGAACCGATGATTTCGCTGAGACTATGCGTCTGGCTGCACTGACCGCCTCTACACAGAGACTGAGCTCAAGCACATCGCGTCACACAGGTTAAACGCAATGCACTTTTAAAAAAGGACAGATTAGCTGAAAGTAGTCTAACTCCTTATAAGTTATATTTTCATGTTACGGGTTACGGTCTGTGTATGGGAAAGGTTGACAAAAGTAAGTTCTATTAATTCCCCATAGGGTCTACTAGACAGTTATTTCTGTCTAATGAAGTCGCAGTAAAATCTATACTTATCATCATGCTAATCTAGATTTTTTTTAAAGTTTATCAATATCATCTAACATATCACTCATCAGGAACATTGATTAGATTTCTTAATCTAGACACTAGATAACCATAACCCAAGTTATGATATGACAATACTTGTAATATCACTTGCAAAGTGTATCAGCTTACAGGCTTTATAATAATGACAGTGCACTGGCAGTTAGTGGGAAGATCTCAACCCCTAGTCGTTCCAGTTCACTTGTGCCCGAAACCTCCCGTTCAGCGACTAGCCATAGAGCCCCCTGTGCGGCGTTATGGGCACTTACAGGTCAATCGCTACACTCTCCGCGTGAATTGCCCGGTCGCATTGAGATAGAGGCGATAGAAGCAGCCTACGATTTTTCGAGTTAAACATACCTGATTTTCTGACCAGTCACCGCTCCAAAATTAATGTCCGATGGCAGGTATACAACATAATTCACATAAAATATATCCTGTGGAACAATTCCACTGGTCCTTACAGGCAGGCGCCGTTAGACATCAGAAAAGGGCAATACACATGTTATCAATACGACTTCAGAGATAGCACGAACAAGCAGGCAGACATCTTTTTCTTGTCTCTCGCTATATCAGCTTTGTTGTTGTGGTCTGATTTGGTATTCCTCCGCGGTGTAATTCGCATTCCGAACTATATCAACCTGCTAAATGTTTGGCATCCATGCAGTGTCTCTATCTAATTACAGTTTCTTTGTGTCTCAAAAACAAAGATGTAATTTCCGTAATGCATGCAATATTATGAATTAAAACCTTACTTTAGCAGACTAAATTGTTAATCCGCACAATTTATAGTATATGTGATGCGGCTACACTGTGTTTTCATACATTAAATTTTGTGTGCGGTTTACGGTCGAGTCACTCCGAGAGTGCTCGGATCGGGCGAGTAGTGCGAAATACTCGCCTCGCCATTCATTGGAAAGCGTGCGAAGAGACGAGGAGGCACGCTTGAGGAATGACAGGCAATTATTTGATATATTGCCGAAACAACAAAAGCTTACTTTTTTCCTGAAAACAGTAGGCTTCAACGCTCGCGCTTTTTTGTTCCGAAGAATGGGAAAGCAGAAGCAAATAAAGGAACTGAAAGAGACAACGGGCTTTAGTATCTCACCCCCGTTTGTAACATAGCGAAGCGTGTGCCGAATTGAATAGATATTAACGAAGACCTGTTACACTGCTACGCTCAATCAAATTATTGATTCAAATTTTCTTTTTCATTTCATTGCAAGTGAACAATGAAATGGTGATGGGAAAAATCAATTCACCTGAAATCATTTAAGTGTGATCGGGTTTTCAGAGTTGGGCTATGATTTTAAACAAAGCAAAGATCACACAAATCATGGAAAATAATGGTTGAAAGAGGCATTTTTTGGAATGCATTTTTTTTTCTTTGTTTCGGGCGTGTACAGGAAATAATGATGCAATGTGCATGAATATATATACAAAAACACCATACGAAATGAGCGATTTCCAATGACACTCAAACTGAGATACTTTCCTATAATGGGCCTACTAGTAAAGGCTTATTGCAAATTGGGTCCGATCGGTTATTTGAAAATAGGTTCAATTCAAATTTGAAAGCTCAGGAAGAAAAACAATTGTATCTATATCGTGCTTAGACCTATTTAGATGATTACAATAATGCTCAAAATGTAACGGCTATGATAGAGACACAACAACATGCATAATGAAATAGGGAATTGATATGTTCATGCAAATGATACACACCGATAATTTTTGTTATAATATTTGTTTTATTTTTGAGCTACTGGCTCTGTGCAGAACTATCGCAATCGGGACGTATTGAAGGGGGCATTTTCCTACTAAAGTGCCCCTCTGACAAAATTCTTATGATGATCACCAGGTTGGTCATTATTAGGAAGGGGGTTCGAGGCCACAGGGTTAAGTTTAGGAGTTCCATCAGTCTGAGAGCAATAATCGTGAACTTTTAAACAAAATTGAAGAAACAGGTTTTTCAAGACATTGTCTCGATTATTTTGTTAATTAGTTGAGCCCCGCACAACTTGCTCAGAGTATGCTGGGTCGCCATAATAAGGTCCGACGTTTTGCGCCCCCTGTATAGCGAATGAAGGGATATATGGATAATTTACCTAAATAGAATAAGAATACTGGTACTGGTCGTGGAAAAGTCGGAAAATTAAATAGAAGGAGATGAATTTCTAAATATTTAACTAATTGATAACATTTCCATCGCAATGTATTTCATCTACCCTTTCATTTCCTTGAGGAATAAGTAGTAATTCTAGGGGTGCAAAACGTCGGAGCTTATTATGGCGACCCAGCGTACTCATAGCAAGTTGCGCAGAGTATTATGACTATCTATTCTTTCAGTTTCTCAAGAAAATCAAGCATGTAGGCCTATATAATGTATTCTACATGTAACAAAATATGTGGAGATATTTGAAAAACAATGAGTCAATTGCAATATTGGGATACGACAAAAAGATTTTTTTAGAAATAATTTAATATAATATTATATTGCATTATTTCTCTTTTATTAAGTGCGTATAGTTTTGTAAAATTATTACTGCAGGGATTATGTTTCTGCATGTACAGCAATAGGCCAAATTTCAAGGAAACAATTTTCCTTTATATCATACAGATCAGAGGCAGTGGTATAGCATGAATGGGTCGATTTTTAAAGGGGGTTTATATAATGGAAGGATATGCATGTCAAGAAGAGCCGACGGGATTCCCGATCCCCCCCCCCCCCCCGCAATCCTCGATCCGCCTCTGGGGAGATCACAATAATCATAAAATAGGCCTCATGATGGTTATTAACAAAATCTTTTAACAAGCTTAGGGTGGTTAAAATATTGACGTCATTAATCTATTACAGCATAATCAACGAATCAAAGTACACCAAAACGCAATGAAGTGTTTACAAATAATCAATTTTAATTTAGCCAGTGGGATACCGGAAATGTGATTTATTAGGAGTTGTAATAATAAACTGACCTACATTCATGACAAGTCTACGTAAGAGGCCCCGTTACATTTTAGCCCAACATTTCCTCCCGGTTTCCTCTCTATACTCGTGCGTTTATTTAGGGAATAATGTGAATTCTCTTTTACAGAAAATAATAATAATAATGTTTCCGAATGAAGTTGCAAATGACTGCTGAATTGACACTGTGGGATTCTGATGAGGGACTGACGAAGGTTATAATGGGTGAATAGGAACATAAAACAAGAACTAGGACTATTACAGAGTGTTCTTAGTAGCGCAATTAACTCAAGTCTATTTAAAATAAAAGGTGTGGGTGATAGCAGTATAAGAGTATTAGAATCAAAATTGACCATGATAAAATCAAAGACATAATAAAACGTTGAGAATCATTTCATTTTTAATGAATTTTGAATTGCATATAACCTGCATGTTTCTTCAATGAATTTAGATACAACCAAACATTTTTTTGTTTACAAGTATTAATAAGTGCATGCAGGCGCGTACGCAGGGGGGGGGGGGGGGGGGGGGGGGGGGGGGGGGGGGGGGGGGGGGTTAAACCTCCCCCCCCCCTTGAGTTTTTTTATGTGTATGTTTTGTGTATGATTTTTGTGAAACCCCCCCCCCCTTTTGATTTTTTTTTTTTTTTTTTTTTTTGTAATAATTTTTTTTTTTTTTAATTATGCCAATGGCTGACCTAAAAAAGGTGACCTTACCCCCCCCCCCCCCAACCGGAACAAAATATCAAATTTTCAAATTTCGAGACCAAAAAAAAAAAAAAAGTGTCCTCTTATTTACTGACAATGAGAAAAACATACACCCGTTTCCTGTATACTTTTCATCATTACCTGCCACGATTTGTGATGCTATGATATGCATAAACAATGGACTGCTCATTCATATTGAAGAAAAAAAATCACCTGGAAAATATATTATTAAAATATGGTATGAAGGGCACTTAATTATAACTAGCACGGAAGAATTAGGGCAAAAAAAACATGAACAAAAGATAAGAGAGGGACCCGTTTCTTTTATTGCGAAGTAAAGGACATTGTTTCTATTATAGCTAAAGCAGGAGTGATACATTAGAAACTTCGGGGTCGCCAATAATTAATGGGAGAGGGCTACTTCTGCCCCTCTGATCATGTCCTGTCTTTTCTTTACGACCCTATCATCAATTTTAAGTAAGACTATACACTACTTCGATGTACTTTTTGTTGTTGCTGTTGTTGATAATTATGCACCTTCACACAGGCACTATGAAAATGACTGACAATGAGAGCGGACAAAATATACAGTTCCTCAGGTAGACAAAGGAACATCCCTTCACTGCTATTATGTAAAAATGTGTAGAACAGGTGTCACATGCATATTCACCTTTTTACATAATAGCTGTGAAGGGATGTTCCTTTGTCTACCTGAGGAACTGTATATTTTGTCCGCTCTCATTGTCAGTCATGTTCATAGTGAGGGTTAATTGGCACATTTAAAGCAGTATCTTAAATGGATAATAATGGATAAGAAATTGCATTTTTTAAAGGGTTAAATTGCGACCAAACAAAATGCCGCAATTTCGTTGTTTGCCCCCAGATGCCATAACACCTAGATGTGCCACATTCGCCAATGGTGTTACTGTGAACGACTCTGAGAGAATTAACGTGTTTAAAAAGGAACACTGGTTTCAAATAAATTATAATAACATGAATTTTGTTAACATTAAAGCAGCATACAGCGTTATCAATTTGTTTTGCTCGTAATATATTGCATGGAAGGATCGATGATAATAACAGCGGTGATGATAATGATGGTGATGGTGATGATGATGATGATGAGGAGGAGGAGGAGGAGGAGGAAAAGCTCTGTAAATTAATGGATGATGATGATGGTGAGGGTGACGATCATTATCATGATCGTGTTGAGATAATGATGATGACGATGGTGATAATGATTCTGAAATATTGATCATGATGATGCAGATTATGGTGGTAGTCATAGTGGTGGTGACGGTGACAAAGACTATTATGGCACGTCACCTTGTCGGTGTTTGATATCTTCTTTCATACTCCTCCTTGCAAGTTAATACGACTCTTCTTTTCATGAAAGTGACGTAATATATTCATGACAATGGCCATGAACCCACGACATCGTATTCGCGCTAAAGTCAAGACAGCGTGAACGGCGGGGCTTTGCGCTTTTCACCGCGCTTCATTATCTCTGAACGATATTGATGCTTAGACACTGTTTAGATGAAACACATCGCATCCCATGTTAATCTATCCTCATTTCACGGCATGACGACTTCGCAAATTATCCCCCATCTTTATAATTTCCCCCCTCTCATCACGAATCAGGTATTCTTCTCTCCATCGCTTCGACACTGTCTAATTTGTTCCCCTCGGTGCCCTCCATCTTTTATACCTTCGATCGTGTCAAGGAAATGGTGCATGTATAAGATATTATTATAATATTCGTATATCTGTTGCTTGATCCGCTTAATGATAATGATAATGAGTGTTAATGTAGTTTTATCGAGACGATTTAAACACATGAAAACGGCACATGAAAATTGTCCACAATGCCCTTTTGTATAATATGTTGTGCAATTGCGAACAATAACCAGTTCAGCTATCAACAAATAATTATTATTAAAAGCTGATCACACCAGCAGTGCGAGCAAGGAGACGGGCAAGGAGAGCCTCAGATAGACCAATACAATTATTAGTCGCTGCTGCTCAGATGATGTTATTTACTCCAATCTATTTAAAAAACAATAATTATTTAGTATCATGAAAACTTACAAGAAACTACATTAAAAAAAAACACAC